TTGTCTTGTTTCCCCCCATTCCAATAAGCTGCATGCTGGAGACTGCCACGTGGCTCTCAATGCATGGCGGCATGCAGAGCTTTGTCTTGTTTCCCATTCCAATAAGCTGAATGCTGGAGACTGCCACGTGGCTCTCAATGTCTGGCCTGCCCACATCATTGAACAGCTTCCTAGCTGATTCAGTTCCACCTCCTTTCTTTTTTCGTTTTTTTTTTTTTTTTATGTGGTCCGATGGACCACTGATCACAGAAAGGTACTCACGTACTAAGCGTTTTGGTATGCATGATGAGTTACGTAGGTCCCTGTGGACCGACGTACGACGTACGTTTGCGTCGATTTTGGTGTGACTATGAATGACACTCGTTGAATGATCGTGCAGTTCTATGACTCACCTCACATATCAAGGAGCCGTTTTACAACCTTCCCACGTGACGTTCGCGCTTTCAATCTGCGATGGACAAACCTCGCGCACCCCGGGCAGCTTTCTGCACGCATGCAGGCCCAGTCCAAATCAGAGAGGTCCCGGGGCCTGGTCCCACTAGCGAAGAGGATTGGATTTAATTTCTGAATCCGGATGCGGTTTGTGGACAGAGATGCAGAAAGGCAGATTAATCACAATTCTCTCCACAAACACGTCCAGATTCAGGAATTAAATCCAATCCTTTTTGCTAATGGGACAAGACCTCCAGACTTTGGGACCAGACATTCCCACAGGGTGTAGAATACAAATATGGGCATTTGCTGAAGGGTCCACACAGAATAGACAACTAAGTTTTGTAGAGGAACAGTACATACAGCAGGACCAAGACTGGGACGAGCTGATAGAGGTAAGAGTTTGGTCCAAAAATTTGACAGCGATGGTGAAAGATAGACCACTGGATCCCCCGATCGGCATTGAGCAGAGTCTGCTGGGGCGAGGCCCCACTGGCAACGGGATAGGATAGAAACGAGTTTGTGGGGCAGTTGAGTGACCCGAATCCTACCGTGCAGTACTCGTGATCCCACGGTCAGTATTTTACATGTATTACCCGAAAAAGTAAGGAGATCTTCGTTCCCCTCCTCCTCTCCTTAACAGTGGGCATGCCCGTGCAAGCATTGTGCCAAGTCAAAAAGGGACCGACAATTCAAGGTGTTCCAGCAACCACTTCAGTCCAACCGTCCGGTTATTCCAGTTGGCCTCCCACATCGGCACCAGTCCTGGGTATCCGAACCACCTGTGATAGCATTCATGCATTTTCAACATCTACGACTATGCAGGACTTCTGTTTCAGTTATCAGGACATTCAACGAAGATCAACGACTCACAAGACAAACAGCCAAAATCTACAGAGTTCCACCTCTTGACCTACGGAGTCCCATCGGGAGACGTGACACTCACCCAGGTTGAAGAACGGCCTCGCCAACCCGAGTGGTACCACTGCCTTGACCAGAAACAGTATAAGTGACAGGGGTCTGGCCTGTCACCACAGCTTGTGTTGTCTCTCGCACTGCACCCTCCAGACTGCGCCCGCTCGCAGCACTCATTGCATATGCAAACCTGCGCAGGAACACAAGGGGTCAGGGCCTACGGAGTCTGAGTCGATTCTCCTCGCCTTTTGGTGGAGGACTGATTCTGCCAGTCTACGGGTCCTACGGCAATCAGCTTCAATCCTTCGTCGGTCAACGTCGTCAAGTCCGGTCTTCCGCTAAGCTTGTCAACTCCAGTCGCTCGCTGGTCTACCTTTCTGGTCTGTCGGTTTTTTCTTGTCCCCACTCTTCACGGTGAGAAGTACTGTTCCCCCAAGTCCTTTGTTTCCTATTCCCCATCATGCACACCTCTGCTTGTTATGCAGGCCACCGTCCCACCATTCTTGTAACTCCTCCTTCCTCCCCTCCCGCACCAGCCTCCACTTCGCCCAACCCCAACACGTCTTCCCCACTCGAACCCCCTATTTTCGATCCCTTTCTCCTTGACTACTTTCCTTTTGATGTCACCATTCACTCTGAATTCTCCGTACCTGGCAAGGATCTACTCACCATTTTCAACTCTCTTATTACCCCCATCTCTGGTGTCACCTCCCCCCTCCTCGTTGTTGGTGCGAATACCCTTACAAGGGTATCCGCCCTGGTTTTTGCAAATGGCAGAAAAAAAAGTTTGGTCTAAAAAGTTTAAGTATCCCGCGCGAGGCGCGGCTGTGTCTGTGGTTTATGTTGACTGAGTGGTTGACTAAAATAGAGAGTGTGTGGGTGCGCAGATTTGAGGCGCACGTGATCTTTTTTAATTGTTGATGATTGAAGAGTCGGCGTAATCACGGACCAAAGTTTCATTTTCTGATTCAGTTAGGATTCCGTTTTTTGATTGGTGTGCGTGCCTGTGACTTGTGCGTACGTGCGAAGGACGGCGTGGACAACATTGTGATTTTGAAGACGTTTCGGTAGATCTGCGCGTCGTGCAGTATTCGCGTATTTAGGTGTCCGTCAGTGCTAGAACCAGCCTTGGGCCTAGCACTATTGGTTACAGCATCGGACTTTCATCAAAGAGATTCAGGGATCAAGATCGAGCGGTGACGACGCGGGGATATCAAAGTAGCGCGAAGGGACCGAGGGGTTGAGGGCCCGGAGGGGCTATCCCCCTTGGTTTTGCCGTCAGTGACGTCAAAATGGTGCTAGCATTTTCCTTTTTTCCCTCGTTCGTCATGTTCTGACCATTAAAAGTTCTAAATATTTTTATTTATTTATCATTGTATTATTATTATTTTTTTATGAACCAACGTTCCCTGAAAACGGACGCAGCGTCGGATTTGGGGGGTGTCAGGGCGGGCGAAAGCCTTGGGCGTGTGCCTCCTTTGGCTGACCTACGAGCCCCTGCGTGTTCAGGATGTTGGTAAACGTCATCTGCTCCAACCATCTTGAGAAAGTGAGCTAAGTTCAACGTGCATACGGGACGGCGAGTGATTAACCCTCGAGGAGGGAGAAGATTGAGTGGCGGGGACTTTTTGCGGGTGCGCCATCAGCCAACCGTTAGTTGTCGTAAGAGGCTTGATTATGAGCGTGCCCGCTGGGCCTCACAAGGTGTTGAACTATGCCTAGTCGGGCGGGCCAGGGGGCATTGTGGAGAAGGCACGGCGATACTACTGTGTCAGTAGCTCGACAAACCAGGAATAGGAGGTGGAAGATTAGCCAAGTCGGCCCCCCCCGAACTTCTCTTTAGGATAGATGGGGTTGTCGGGAAGTTGCAGGGCCGCGGCGGAGGCTTTCACTATTAGGTGCCGCATCAGCACAAGAAGCAGACGGAAGTAGGATGGGTCTGGCGCGGAATTGGGGTAGGATACATTCGAAGATAAAAGAGGTAGGGGCTAGCAGTGGTGCGGATGAGCAAAGTAGGCCAAAGGATTTCGATATAGAGGCTCCGGGTTAACCAAGTCGGCTACTGACAGAGGCACGCGGGGCTATAGGACGGTACGATGTTCGTCGGAGTTGGGCGTAGAGGCGAAAGTGCTAGTCGGGTTGGTAAAAGTACCCAGGTTTCGCCGAAGTTCTCGTTAGTACTGTTTTTTTTTCTGCGCAATTGGTAGGGTCGTGCGCTACAGCGGGAGTTGACGTTAGCACAAGGAAGACGAACGGAGGTACTAGATAACAGATAGATCTGGGCGTCATATTGCGCCGAAAACATCCGACCACGAGATCAGCGGGTGACGGGCCGAGCGCAGTTGAAGAAGTGTAACTCGCCCAACTCTCATCGGAATCGGGTGAGAGAGGAGGCGATTCCGAGGTTATGAGCTATGGCGAGTCTAATGGGGGGTTTGGTTTTGACAATAGGGGGCTAGTTTGTGAGTAGTAGAAGTGAGAAGATGCGCACTTATGACCGAAAGAAACAAAGGAGGAAAGGGAGAAGAGAGAACGAATGTGTTTGCTCATTCCTGAGCGAAAGCAGGCAGGGAAAAAAGGGTATAGGGGGGTTTTAAGGTCGAACGATCCCGTAGTCGAGGTTAGATCTAGTGGTAAGTTAGCGTTGAAGAAGCTAGTAAGGAGAAATGGTCCGCGCATGGCTATGGAGGGCGCGGGAAGGAGGAGAAAACAAGTATACCGCGACCATCTGGACGAGAGTAAGCCGAAAGAGAGGTTAGTAGAGAAGGATGCGCGTGGGGTTGTCGGGAGTCGGCTATGGCAGGAAAGAAGACAACGATATCTCGCTCGATCCTTAATAAAATCGAGAGAGAAATAATGTGTTTCAGAGGTTCTCAGGTGATACGAACGTGATGGCACTGGTAGATTTTGTGTTGGCCGTATAAATTTGGCGGGATGGTATTTCGGGGCTGCGCCTGGTGGGTTTGGTTTCTTGCGACTGAACCTGGCCGTGATGTGGGACAGGTACTTTCGCTACTAAGGACGACTGCGTATGAGGCAGGTGTGGTCTGGCGGAAGTGATACTTTCAAGCGCAACAACAGGGGACGACCGCCAGCTTGAATACTTACCTACAGGCTGCGGGCGGCTTACCTCAACGGGTCGGCGAGTAACGGGAGGACAGTCGAGGAGTTCGGGACTTACCTAGTGGCCAATGCCCTTGCTTGCAGACTAAAATAACGGGGGAGTGACAGCGGGGTATGATGACTTACCTGTGGGTTTGAGCATAAGCGAGCGGGCCTACAGACTGAAAGCTTACCTGGCCAAGGCTGTGCCCATCTCGTCGGAACTCAAAGAGTGAGGAGCAACAACACGTCCGCTAAGAAGTGTCGGCCGACCGACTAGCTTGCGCACCTCTAAGTTTTGGCCGGCTATGCAGTAAGGCCAGCCTGCGCAGTAGCAGGCCAGTTGGGTAGGTACCAACTTATTTGCGGGCTGGTTTACTGTTCATCTTACCAAAAGAGGTGGTTGGGAATGGGCCATGGAAAAATGTGGACTTACCAGTTGATTGGCTCACGGCTTATTATGTAGGGCAGTACGGTGGTTCGGAGGTTCGTCGGAAAGAGTAGCTTACAATTGGGGGATGAGGTCGAGCTGGGATAGAAGGGGTATTGCTACGATCCGGAGAGTCGCCGAAAGAGTCAACAACAGGCCATCAAGCTTCAATTGATAACGCTGTTTTCTTGCATCTTGGCCATCATTGCGAAGCCCTCAGGTGAGTCAAGATTTCAAGGCCCTCTCTCGCGAGTCTGAGTGCACCTCTTTTGGATCTGAGAGACTCAAACTTATCTTTTTCTCCCCTTCTCACTCTAAGTCGAGTCTGTTGGTTCTGAGAGGAAAGCGGCAGGCAGGATTGCAACCCGTAGGACCGCATCAAGACTCTGTGGGGAGTCCACCCACCGATTGCGGGAGCTCTGCCGGAACCTAGGCGAGGTTCTGGAAGCAGGGAACTGACAGATATACCTTTTTCTATCTGAATAAGATATTCAGAAAGGGGAGGATATGGTGTTCACCTGAGTTCGCTAACGTAGTCCTAGCTCGTATGACTCTGAGGAAGTAGTAGGGTGACTTCCGTGATGGTCATCCAATTACACTCTTTAGAGGATAGGCTGGAGTCTGACCAAAGAGTGATAGGAGGTTTCCGTGAAGACCCCCTATTACTAACTAGAATTCCGTACTGACACCTGAATCTGGAGTGTCTTTCTGAATGTTGGGTTAAGTGTTGAGATGATTCGACCTGGACCTCCTAACTACCTGCTTAACTAATAAAAGGATACTTCCGGGTGAGTTATCATGTCGCTTGCACTAGATTGCTTGAACCGCTTGATTGCATAAGGACTGCATAGACATTGAAGGGTGACTGAGTGCTCTCGTGGGGCGACTCGACTACTCTTCTGACTAACAGATTGTTTGGAATTGATCAAGTAGTGAAAGATTCCCGGGTAAATCAGCCCACTACTTGCGTATGTCAGGACAAGAAGAAGCGGAAGGGAAAAAATGAGTGCTCTATCGGAAGCAACTTCAAAGGTCCTTTAAAGGAACGTGAAAGAAGACAAGGAATAAGAGAAAGAAGACACCCCGTGTAGCCATAGTTCATTAGAAAAATTGTCACTGGCTTGAGTTGATCTCGGCCAGACTACCAGATAAGCACCAGAGGTTGTGCTTATCCACAAGAGAGAAAATGCAAGGACTGAGGGTAGGGGAAATGTGAATTTCCCTGAGACAACTTAGGACATAGACAAAGAGACTCCTTGAAACGAAAGGAGAAGGGGTGACAAACGACTTAGGGTAGATAGATAGTAAGGGTTAGACTTTGGGATGTTGATCCCAAAAAGCTCGCAGACAAGATCTAAGGGTTTGACCCTTAGATGTCAATATGTGGGAAATCGAGTGGTAGTGTTGAATCTTTGTTGACATGTGCGTGTGCAGGTCCCTGTTTTGATCTACAACAATTGAAGGAGAAGTCCTACAAAGAGGACTCAACTTTTTTGTTATCTCTCAATAACAGGTCGTTCGTTGTCGATTCAACTTTTTCCCCTTGACTTGATACTCACGTCTAAAGTCAAACCTTGTGGTCAGTAAAACTGTCACTTGTGGTCATTGCCTAAATGGTCCCGGTCACTTTCAAGGGTCCTTTGAAGATATGTGAGGGGGTTGGGCTTACATCTCAGGGAAGATAGTGCTGTCATACATGGTTTGGGGAGTGAGAGACAATGTCAATGGTTGATGGTTGACGCCTTTAGTGCATGGCATGTCAATGTGAACTGTCTATGGT